GCGCGGCCCCGCCCCCGGCCTCGTTCCCACCTTGGTGCACCGCCCCGGCTCCCGTCTCGTTCTCACCTCCGGGCGCGACCCCGCCCCCCGCCTCGCTCTCCTGTGCTGGGCGTTTCTCGGAGTCTGTTGCGGCTCAGTTTCGTCGTCGCCTTTTAGGTGGTCTCCAAGGGTACTGGGGACATTCCTCCAAGACGGATGGCCAAGCCCCAAGAGAGACTCATAGTCATGGAATTTGGGTCTGGCCCCCACGAGAGCTAAGCAGTCAGGAGAGGGAGCCCTAGAGAGCAGTAGGAGAAGGGATGACTTCAGAAACCCGGCGTCTTAATGATGATGACTCAGGGATATGAGGGACCAGATGCCTCGGAGAATTACAGCCCCGAAAGAAAGAGGTTATGTTGAGAAATAACGGAAAAAACTGCTCACAGATGGAAATACGAAGCAAAGACTCTCCCTAATAATAACTTCCATTTATTAGGCACTTAGTATGTACTATGTCTTGTGTTAAGTGCTTTATATGCATTAGCTTAGATAATCCTCACAAGAATCTTATAAAGTAAGTACTGTGACTCTCCCCATTTTACAGAGTAGGAAATTGGAGCCTCCAGAGATACAAGATCAGATCCAGGCAGGCTGACTCCAGGGTTCATGTAAATCGTTATCCTTACTTTCCTTACATATAAGTCTTGAGGAAGATAAATGGTAATTTGTGAGGGAGATGACCTGGGTGGATATCGAAGGTAGTTTCAGGAAAGCTTCCTGCAATGATCAAAGGATTGAAGAGCCTACTGGGTGATTCCTGTCAGTTCTTGCTTTGACCTCATTGGTGATGCTCTGTCTCCTATTTTCAGAAACAATCCCATCTGAAGCTAGAATTGCTCCCTATTCTTTCCCTTTCCTCTTGGACAGCAACCCGCTTTTTAGTTAAATCATACCTTTATTCTTTTCATCACAGTGAGATGGAAATTTCAGGACACCAAGAGGCTGAAATGGGCCAAATGGTTTCTCATGGCTTTTATTCCTTATTAAATTCAGAACTTAAACAATATTCGGGTATATACATCACTTTCTACCCTCAGTCTGAAAGGTGAGAATCGGAAAGGGCTTGAGCCTCGGGGCTGGCTTCATTTGCTTGTTGATTGGGAAGGAGACAGACCACAGAGGGGTTCCTATATCAATCTTAGAGCTAGATTTTGGAAGTTGACAGTGGTATCATTTCAGTCATGAACTGTTCTAACACTATATTATGCCCTCTTGAGCAGAAATTGTGGGCCCATGGTGAAATCCAATTGCAACTCTCTTTTGATTAGGAAAGGACAAGTTTCTCCCTAATCTATTTATAGAGACACATATCAAGAGCAAACAATTCCTAATCAAAAGGGATTTCAGCTATTTATTTTTCCTTGATGCAGACTTGCAGCCTGTCTTTCCTAAAAGATCTTTGGCTTGCCTTTGTTGAACTCAATGGTCCTACTCTATTAGATTTACCTTAGTTAGAATGAACTCTCCACAGTGCTAACTCTAGCTCCTGAAGATCCTTCCTCACAATGTTCCTGCCTAACCTGACTAGGAAGTGATTGTTTTCTACCGTAGGTTTGGCCCTAAGCGCCATCTTCCTGTGAATGGTCGAAGGAGAGCAGTTCAAGTTTGGAGAACTATTTAGAATAGTGGTTCGTAACTTTTTGGTCTCAGAACCTCTTTATACTCTTAAAAATTATTGATGATCTCAAAAACCTTTAGTTTATATAGGTTTACATATTGATATTTAAAAATTAAAACAAAAATTTAAAATGCTTATAATAAACCTATTACATTTTAACACGATACATTTTAATGAAAAATAACTATATAATCCCAGGCAAAAAAAAAGTGAGTGAGAGGAGTGGCATTATTTTTCATTTTTGCAAATCTCCTTGATGATTGGCTTGATAGTAGAAAACTGGATTTTTGTATCTATGTCTCCATTGAATGTGATATTTCATTTTGATTGAAACAAAATGATTGATTGATGAAGAAAATCTGGTCTCACAAAGATGTAGTTGGGAAAAGGAGGAATTATTTTAATAACCTTTTCAGATCATTGTGGATATTTTTCTTTGATATTACACCAAAATTTGACAAGTGATAGCTTCTTAAAGGTTAGTTGCAATGTGGAATCTAAAACTATATCAAGGAAATCCATTGATCTATCTTCCACTTTGAATGGATCTTGTACCTACATGTGATTGATTCTGTAACAGCATGTATTGGTCATTTGGAAAATATTTGTTCACTGAGTCGTGCAGATCTTCCAAATATTGTCACATGTAATTATACTATATATTGAAAAATCACTCTGATCTCATCAGAAAAGTAAGTATTAGCAAGCTATCAAGCTCATTGAGGTGGATATGAATTTTCCAAAATTCTTATTCCTACCTGAAAGCTCCAATTTTATCATTTGTAATAATATTGTCTGTTTTCCCTGAAGTGACAGACTTGCTTCATTAATTTTTGAGAAAATGTCTGTCAAATACCCAAATCTGAATACCATCGTTTGTCAGTCATTCATTCAAGGAAAAATGGTGTTCCATGAAAAACGTGGCTAGTTCAGCTCACAACTCAAATGATGGTACAAGTGCTTTATCTCAACACAACTATTGTAGTTAGATATGCAGCAGAAGTGCTTTATGGATACCTCTCATTTAATATAAGTACAGGATTTAATACAAGTACTGCTTCATCAGGGACGTTCTTAAGTGAAACTACATTTTTTCTTCCTGTGAGCACATGGTAGTGAAGAATAACATGTCTACCAGTACACTTGAGTACCACTGCCTTGATTCCTGCTAAGGTATCAGTAGTATTACCCGCCATTGCTTTTGCACCATCAGTGCAAATGTCAACACAGTGAAAAATGAAAATACTATTAGACAATTAGTATTATTATGTAATTAGTTTTACTATTATTAATAAAATTAGAATCACTATCATTGCAATTATTATGAAAATAATGTTTACTTCGTAGGCCCCCCTGAAAAGGTCTTTGGGAGCTTCAGGAGTTGGTGAACCACACTTTGAGAACTGTTGATTTAGAGCCACTCAAGACCATTAGCTCAGTCTTGCACTAAGAAGAAAGAACAAGTTCTTGCATACAAGGAAATTAGTGCCAGGATTGAAAACTCATCAAAGCAAAGTTATGAAAACCCTCAGTCTTCTAAAACTTATTTAGTTTATTCTGCTTCACACTGGAACAAAGTAGGTAAAATATATTTAGCACTACATTCCTTAAATCCTTTATATGACATTTCATTTAATCCTCACAATAACTCTATAATGCTACTATGTAACACCAATATATACCACTACATGATACTAAGATGCTAGTATTTTAGGCCTGTATGACTCTAAAATGCTTGCTTTTAGTTACCATGCCTCACTTCACATTTTTATCATTCAGATATTCCTTTAAATATATTTGCATTAGTGTTACTTTTGGTACCTGGATAGTCTGGTGAACTTGGGTATGACCCATCTTAACATATCATGGATGGATTTCCACGTAAGTGCTGTTACGTTATTAAGGGCAAAACATGAAATTTTCTTTCTTAGAAATCCCGATATTTCCAAATATGACAACACTCATCGAATTTCCCCAAGTTGTTTATTTTTATTAACATCTTGATCTGCAAAGCTGGAAAGTGTAAAAGACAAAACATTTTCCAGAAAATTTGTTTTTGAAAAGTCGAGTGTTGAAGACACATGAGGAGCTGGCAAAACGTGATAAAGCAGTTCTACGCTTGGTATTTTCATTCAGCAATTACAAGTGTGTGTGCATTTTTTAAGTTATATATTTTATTTATGAACTAGTCGTGGGAACATAAAAGTCTCAAAAATTCCTCAAATGTTACCCAAAAGCTTTTTATGTTTTTTGGAGATGAATTGATTCAACATTTTGCAAAATGTGGTGTATTTACCCCTAGTGATTCTTAAGTTGATTTTTAAGGGAAAAAACATTAAGTTCAGTGGCTGGTGCTCACCAGCAT